CCGCACAAACTAATTGTTTTATTCTATAAACCATGGTTAAGCATATCATTTTAATATATGATCCTAGTCTTTAGGCCACACTTGTTTTAAGTAAGCAAAGTGGCTTACTTTAACACAGGCAAATCGTTTAGCACTTTGTTGAATCAACTGCTATTATACAAATGTTGAGACTAGCTTTTAAGGCAGATATTTTCCCCTTAAAATGATTCTGACTGTATATGCTTAGCATTTGTAGCACATGTAATTCAAATAAGACACTACACTAGGCTACTTCTTCTGTAGTATTTTTGCAGTCTTGTTTACATTTATTCAGAAGAAACTTTTGATTTTACTCAACAAATTAATATGCAAAGTTTTAATAATTTATGCACTGCACAGCTTTTAATCTTATAGAAGGAATACAAATCAATACAGCATGAGAAAGTATAAGGGTACAAACATAAAGCTAGTAGCTCAAGGATCAAGAGTATATATATTTTCTAATAATCAACAAAGTATTGTGGTCTTCAACTCCACAATGATCCTGTTTATTCAGGTGCAGGTGCAAGTATGTGTATGAACATTAGAGACCAAAGCATTCTAAAAACATTTTGCCTTAGTGCGAGTGCACGTGTGCCATCAGTCTGTTTTTTATTCAATTTGACAAATAGGATTTCTAACTGGCCAGCTACTAAGACAGACAAGTGCTTTTTGTAATAGCACCCAAACCTTCTTTATTTGGTTTTGAGGAGCTATAACCTTTATTATTCAATCTAACTATACTACCGTGTTTCTCCAACAATACGGCCTCCACCAATAGGAAGCCCCACCATGTTTTATTAGCATAAAATCAAATTAAGCCCCTCCCCCCAAATTAAGCCCCATATTAAACATGCGAAATGGAAGGGGGGGAGCGGGGGGGGCTTGCCGTTAGTAAGTACTTTTGTTGCATGCCCGGATATGGTGCTGCCTGCGTTGGTGGGGCACTTCATATCGGGAGACCTTCCACCGTTGCTTCTCCCTTCTCCCTTGCTGCCCCTTCTCCCTTGCTGCCGTGGCGTTTGGCGCAGCCACGTGCATTTTATGACATTTCTTGCCACAGTTGTTAAGTGAGTCACTGTGGTTGTTAAATTAGTAATATGGCTGTTAAATGAATCTGACTTTCCTACTGACTTTGCTTATCAAGTCACAAAGAAATGATCACATGATCTTGGGACACTGCAACTGTCATAAGTATGACCCAGTTTGCCAAGTGTCCAAATTTTGATATTGTGACCACGGGGATGCTGCAATGGTCATAAATGTGAAAAATTGTCATGTTGTAACTTTGAGCGATCAGTGAACAAAAGGTTTTAAGTTGAGGACTACCTGTAACAGATGGAAAAGCTAGATGAAAAGGCTAAAAAGTCTCCCAGAAGAAAATGGCAAACCATATGCTGTCGCATTTCTTGTCGCCAAGAAAACTAATAGGCGTGTGGTGACGCCATCCCTAAAGGAGCAAGTCTTCAACTGGATGGAGCCTTCTGCTGGAACAGCAAGTATGAGATGAATGAGGACTTTGCACAAGTTCCAGTTGCTGCCCTACCTGGAAGAGGAGGACCTCACTACAGTGACTTGTACCTTCATTACCACCCATTTAGACTACTGTAACACATTGTACCTGAAACTGCCTCTAATCACTTGGAGATTGCAGTTGGTTTAGAGCAGTGGTCCCCAACCTTTTTTGTACCAGGGACCAGTTTCATGCAGGAACACTTTTTCAAGGACCGGTTAGGGTTATTTATTTATTTGTTTATTTCTTATTTAATTATTTAATTATTTATTTTTATTTTTTATTTTATTTACTATTACACTATCAACTCACCAAAATTAACCAATGTTGGAGGATTACTAAAAATGTGTATAAATGCAAGACTAGACTCCAATAAAGTCATCATGATTCAGTTGATCATGATCAAACAAAAATATATGTTTGGCAAAAATATATGTTTTCTCCAAAAGCGTTTTGTAAGGTAATAATCCGCAATTCAGATTTTACATTTAGGATAGGTTTGATCTCCCATATGGTCTTCAGCTTTCCACAATCTCAACAATTGTAAGGTGTGTGGGGAATTCAGAGAGTCCAAGTCCGCACATTTTAAAGTTGTTGAGGTTCAGAAATCCAGGCATATAAGGAATTCCGGGGATTCATTCCAAATACCTGGAGAGCCCACTTCTTTCCGGATCTCTCTCGCCCCATTTCGCTGCAACCCCTTGGCAAGCAGAGCATTGTCTAGAATTCTTCCAGCTGAAATAAGACTTTCAATTACCTGGGAATAAATCCATATTAAACCAGTCAAACTTTTAGTAGATATTCACTGTGTAGCTTGGCTAAAGCAACATTCTGCCCTGTGTGTTTTAGGATTCTCGTCTCTTTTGCTGTCTTCTCTTCTCCTCTCCAGGTTGTTTCAGGCGGCGACTGCCTTCGCCTCCGCCCGGCGCCTTTCGTCGTGCACCCTCGTCCTCCCCCGGCTGACAGCTCCGCTGCCGCTGCTGCCGCTGAGCCATGGCCCCGGCGCCCCTCTGCCACCCCGGACAAACGCAGGGCTGCTTTCAGGGGCTCCCGCGAGGGGTCTGGATTGGGATCTGAGCCCCTTCATTCCACCCCATTCCAGCTTTCGGCTCACACGCCTCTCTCTCGCTTTCGCTCTCACTCCCTTTCCCCAGGCGGAAAGAGGCGCTTCATGGCGGAGCCGCTGAGGCAAGCTTTCTCCCCACCCCACGTTCCTTTCTCCCTCAGGCCGCCGACTGGCGCTGCTGAGGGCAGACTTCCCTTTGGCCGGAGACATCATTTTTTTCACAGCCAAACAGATAGAAATACGGCCAGATTTCTCGTATTTGGCCGGAAGACGGCCAGATGGCAACCCTGTTCAACGTCCCCTTTTTCTCCAGCCATGCACGGCATGGAGCTGACATTTTTGGTCGAGGCTGAGGGACGGCGTCAAAACCAGCACTTGATCCAGCACGTCGAAACAAGATGGCGCCCAAGCAAAGTAGGCGGCCCGGTCCAAAATGATCCACAGACTGGTACCGGTCCGGGGACCGGCGGTTGGGGACCCCTGGTTTAGAGTGCATCAGCCAGCCAAATATCTTTATTTGCCTATGACTTATATGTAAGCCCCATAGTGATTACTATTAGACTTCTGGATGCTAAAGTGCTAGTGCTGATTTATAAAGCCCTACATAGCTTGGTATCATTTCTGTAGGACCATCTTCTCCCACCGGAATTGGCCCAGCTAATTCAGCTTACCTAGGCAAAGCTACTAGTGGTCTCCCACATAAGGGTAGTGAGGAGGGCTAAGGATCATATGGTTTCTTTTTGGGGTGGCGGCACTAAATTTTAGACCAGTGTGTCAGTTCAGCAGCATTACCTTCCAAAAACAACTTGAACCCAGCTCTCCTGGATAACATTTGGGCTGCAATTCCATTTTGGTTGGATTATCATTGGTTTTGTTATTTTATGTTATTCTTTTTAATAGTTCTCAAAGTTTTATTTATGTATTTATTGTATCTTGTTCATTGTGTATTTTATCTTATAAGCTTCTGATAATCATTTGGGATAGCGGTGGTTCATAGATGTGATTAATGTTACCTGAAATGAGATTCAATTTTAATATTTTGCTTATTACATACTTAGGGTAAAGAAGATGTTAAAATCCCAAAGAATATTGCAGACAAATTTGTCATATAAACTTACAAGCTTCTTCTGGGTGCAGTTCCAGTGGGGAAAAAGACACTGGAAACATGGAGGCTGTTTGGAAGGATGGTTTAATGATGGACAAGACCACATGGCTTGGAGCTCCAAAGAAGAAAGGATGATCACATGCTTCAAGATGTTGGGTAAAGAAAAAAGAGAAGGGCTGATATGCTGAGAGTGCCTAGTTTTATACCCTCTGTTAGATTTGAATTTGAGCTTGTATTCTGATTGGTTGTCAGACTCCCATGGGGCCATGCAGGGGCAACTCTGTAGGCTGTCCTGAGTCCCAGGCTTGGTTGAGCCTTGCTGGATGATGATGTAATGAAAAGGGCTTTGGGCAATTCCTATAGCTCTACCTGGAGATCTTTGTTATGTAAAATAGCCTGGCCTAAGCCAGAGTAATGGCCCATTAGCAAAGGTGGAGGGGGGCTGAGTTTCTGCTTTTGAAATGAGTTTCTGCTTCTGAGTTTCTACTCTTTTTAAAGGAAATATTCTGCCTTTTTAATATTTCCTAGGATATTTCATTTTTCTAGGAGAGGGGTGGCTGATCACTTCCTCAAGCACAACTATATTTCTGTATCTATTTACCTGGAAGTAAAATATCACTGAAATGCACTTCTTCGGTATTCACATGTGCCAAGAGTGCCCTGCGAGAACATTTGGGTTTAGTCAGGGAACAAGGCAGCAGTTTTAACCAGAGTTAAATAATTATGTTAACTCCGCTCTTGCTTAGGCTGCCTGTTGGACATTTTACCTGCTTCTACTCAGGCTCAAGTGCTTGTCCGCTTTAGAGATCCGTTAGAGCGGGGGTCTCCAACCTTGGCAACTTTGAGACTTGTGGACTTCAACTCCCAGAATTCCTCAGCCAGCAAAGCTGGCTGAGGAATTCTGGGAGTTGAAGTCCACAGGTCTTAAAGTTGCCACTGTTGGAGACCCCTGCGTTAGAGAGGCTGCTACTTTGGGGGCTCTCCAATGGCTTTGGAGATATATTGCTGTACAGACAGTGCTAACCTCCCGCATCACTACCATTGCCACTAACAAATGCAAACTACGCCAGATGAACCCCCAGTTTGCACGTATATGTAAATCCCAGGCCCACGTCTCCCCTCCCCTCCCCGCCGCTTCACTGGGGAGCGGAAGTCCCTTTGGAGAACCATGACGTCCTTCGTTTCCGAAACCGAACTTTACACCGGAAGCGACGACAATTCAGCGACTCGGAGCCCGTGAGCTCTGCGCCCTCTAGCGGTTCTTACCCACTCCTCGTTCCTTCAGCTAAGATCCAGTATTGCGTGGCCACACACAGGTATGTGCGTGTGTACGCGCGCGCGCGCGGGCGGAAGAGAGAGGACATCGCGGGGAAGGGGCTGTTCCTCGGGATTTCCAAGTAAGCGGTAGGGAATTTCCTTCGTCTCTCCCCCTCCCGGTCTTAAAGTGGTACAGACCAAAGATTAGACAGTGCTGTTTTCCTGACTTGTTACTAATAGCTGAACCTAAAGCCTTGAATTGCGGTCACGGTGGCGCGATCTTCCCACTTTTCTTGTTCCGGCTTGTTCTACAACCTGATGCGAGCCTAGCTCTCTTAGCAAATGCTGGCAAGGTAGGTATTGATTCATTTCTTTAGCCTCCCCTCACCCAATCGTTACATCCTGTCAGCTTGGAATCTGGAGTCTCCCCTGTCTTCTCAGGAAATGGCCTGCACAATAGAAAAGATCTTGACAGATGCAAAGACGTTGCTGGAAAGGCTGAAAGATCACGATAATGCTGCCGAGTCTCTCATTGATCAGTCTACTATGTTGCATAAGAAAGTTGTAGCCATGAAAGAAGCTGGTACAACTCTTTCACACAAAGTGAGTGCAGGTTTGTTAATGCACAAATGGATTGGCAAGCGCGGGTTAATGGATGTGTTGCACTGTACAAGTCCTCTGGCTCATACAAAAACGTTTTTCTTTTGCAAGTATCAAGAAGATGCAGCTGAGCTAAAGGATCTCTCTAAATACAAACCTCACATTCTCTTATCTCAGGAAAACACTCAGATTAGAGATCTGCAACAGGAAAATAGAGGTGAGCATTGTCCTAATGAAATAATTGTGAGCTAAAATGATTTTTATGGAAGTATTTTTTTTTGAACAAATTTTATTAATTTTTTTAAAAAACATACACAAGCAAACAAAACATAGGATGTAGTAACATAAAATATCTTTTTCTAAAAAACACATAGAATATCTTATTTAAAAACAAGATAATTCCAAATTATCACATTTCTATACAAACACAATTTAATATATATATTTATCTTATCTGTTCAACTTCATATCCTTTCCCAACATCTCTTTACTGCTCCCTTTCCTTCTGTTTAATTGTATTTCTTTTGCCTTAGATTATATATATTCATTATATATAGTTTCATTAATTCTCTTCCAACATCCTTTCAAACATAAACAAACATTACACAAAACATAAATACATAAAACTTCTTTTTGGAAAGTGGCTTACCCCGGGTTAAATCTTTTTGTACAGACATAAATCAAATTCGTGCTCACATAATATACTATTTCATATCTTATTTAACATTCTATATTTTCTATATATTTTCTCTCTCCTATTCATTCTTTTAATTCTATTTTATTTATTTCATTTCAATTTAAATAATTATACTTGCATCTTTTGTCCGTTCTCTTTCAATCATCTATTTTTCCTTTCTTTCTAATACAATATTTCTCCTGTAACCACTGGTTGAAGTATGACAACTTTTTATCTTTCCCCTAAATTTTACACTTAAAATAATACATACTTTTCATACTGATTCTGCTTCGTACATTCTAAGTACTACATTTCAAAATAATAAAACAAGCCAATAATATTAGCTTCCCTTTAATGCATTATTAATTCATATAATATTTTGATTTTCTAATTCAATTTCAAATACTAATATCTACCATACAATCTTATGTACTTTTGCAGAATCATTTTTATAAAATTATATCTTACCCCTTATCCCTGAAAAAACCTGTTTTTTAACATCTTGTTTAAAGCTTTTATGACTTCTCTTCCCTTTTTCCCTTCCTTTCTTATCAATTCTAGCTTTTTGACCCCCCCCCAATCTCTCAAGTTTCACTCTCTTAATCTTCCCTCTCTGTTGTATTTCTCTTTTCTGTTGCTTTCTGACATCATATCGATTTTTCATCTTATTTTTCTTTTTCTTGGTTGCTTTTTTAAGTCCTGAATTCACCATTTCTTTATCCCCCTTACGCTTTTCTTCCTCCACTAAGAGTATTTGTCCATTAAAGATGGCTTCTTCTTCTTGATCCCAGCCTTCCTGTCGCTGTTGTATTTCTTGATAGGTAGAGATCGCCATTTCTAAAAAGTGGAAAATAGATCCAGAAGAGCCCATGCCTTCCTGTTCCTCTTTTTTCAATTTTTGAAATTCCATTTGTAATTCTTCAAAAGATAATGGCATTTTTTCCCTTTTTTTGAAACAACCCAAATATCTTTAATCTTTCAAGAAATAGTTCACCAAGATCCCAAAGTCACAAAACAAACCAAATCAAAGCAAACAGTTTCATTTAGCACTTTCTTCTTTCTGTATTTTCTCTTCCTAGGGTAGAATTCAAATACACAGTTCCAAAGTAATCTTCTAGAAGTCGTAATACCTTTTATTTCTGATCTTATAAACTCAAAGCAGTCTCCTTCAGTACAATCTTAAAATAAATCTTTACCTCTTCCCTTCCACTTATAGCAAATAAAAAGAATTTTAAGTTTTTAGTTCCAATGTCCAGTAATCCTTTATCCCCTTGGCTTTAAATTTCAGGTTTACCTTCTATGCCCAAGCAGGTTTTCCAGATTTCCAACTGCTGTTTCTGTGGGAAGGGAGAGTGAAAGAAAGTAACTTTCCCTTTCAGCTTTTTTTCGCCGCTTTTACGATCTTCCTTGGGAGACAATGTATCCTTCAGACGATTCAGTTTCCAGGGTATTTAAAAGTTTCTTCTAGTCCCGGTTCAGCCAAAACTTTCGCCTTCACCTACTTCCTCTTGCACAAATCTTACCCAGCTGCAGGCTTCTTTGTGGCGGCCATTGCTGATCGCCGCTCCACCGCCTTGGGAAAAAGGGGTTTTGCCGGCTGGGGAGGGGGTTTGCGTTACCCCCAAACCCAAATCCGGATCCCCTCTCTCTTCGGCTGCCTCTACGGGGCAGCCCTATCCTCCAGATCCATCTGGATCGGAGGAACCTCGGCAGCGAGCGCAGCAGGAATCGCAGAGGATCGCGAATTCCTGCTGCCGCCGAGCCTTGCAAAACCGGAAGCCCCGATTTTTATGGAAGTATTGATTTACCATTAATTGAGGGCTTTACTTCAGAGCTTAATTTAGAATATTTTAGGAATGTTCTGAGGCTGGAAGTATGTGAGATCTGATGTAAATAACTTTGATAAAATGGGTATTATTTGAGCCAACATTTCAGTTTATATCTTATTCATGCAACAAATCATATGGTAAAAATACCAGCTTAAAATCATTTTATTATTGGTGTTCCCCGTGGCATTATATGCTGGTTATATAAGCATGCCAAGACAAAAAAAACTCAAATTTTGTTCAAGTTTATTCAACTGCAACTTATTCAAAAAATAGATTGTAACCTCACTGATTAACTGTTGTGTTATATAAATAGGTGACAGTCTGCCACACATTTGCATAACAATAAGCTTCAGTGAAAAACAGAAATGTGCCCTCAAATGCATAGGATTAGACTATAAATCAAATTTGCTTGATTATAAAATACTAATCCAGAGTGTGCATTGATCAAAAAAGTCTAGTCTTTCCCTGGTCTGCCATCAGGGAAAGAATTTGAAATGGAAGTGTAACCAAACAAATAGTAATTCTAGAGACCAATGTGCATCCTACCAATATAGTCATAGCATGGAATTACACTTTTTTCCTCAGAGTTATGGATCTCTTTAGAAGAACATCAAGATGCACTAGAACTTATTATGAGCAAATACAGAAAACATATGCTGCAGCTCATGATGAAAAGAAAAGATGTGGATTCTCAATCGGTTTTGCAAGTACATCAAAGCCAGTCTGCGGTAAGAAATTACTATGTTCTCTCTAAAAAAAAAAGTAGAAATAGATTTAGGAGAGTTGCTTGGATGTATGCTCTGTTTCCTTTTGACTCTTGCTTTTTTCTTAAGAGTCTCTTCTCTGAAATATCTCAGAAGTGCCTTTTCTTTCTAGGAGAAAGTACTGCAGCTGAGATGTAACTTAAGAGTTCTTATAAAGTAAATAATTGTAAATACCATGGATGATTAAATTATTTTTATGCCACAAAAAACCCTACAAAATTTCATTACATTTTGCCTCCAAGTAGGTCTATAAATTTATGACTGTTCAGAAGGCATTCCATATACTACAGATCAGCTGTCGCCAACCCACTGGTGGTCTATGAGAAAATTTTAGTGGGCCGCAGAGAAATGTCCGCCACAAAGCAAGTAATCCAGGCTGCGCAGGAACACAAGGTTGCGCAGCCCACATGGCCCGCCCACCCGCTGGCCCCCACCCTTCGGCCAAGCACAAACCTGCAAAAAGCAGCGCAGCCCTCGCCAGCCAGGGTGAGGTGATGGTGCTGTCGCAGCAAGAGGGGGTTGGCAGCACAGGCGGGCTAAAGCGGCGATGGGAGATGGTCGGAAGGTGCAGTAGCACCGTGCTTACTTGCATTTGCATGGCACTCCCGCACCTTCCAGCTCGCATCTCTTGGCCTGGGCTCTTCCTCGATGGCTGCGGGCTGTAGGGATGGCCCAGGGCAGGAAAAGTATCGGCTGGTGGTGGTGGGAGGGGTGGAGTGGACAAGCCTGCGCTCACCAGTTCAGAGGTCCAGAATGAAGTGGCGGCAGCATCAGTTTTCTCGTCCCTCTCAGCGCTCTGCTCTGCTGCCCTCCCCTCCATCGCTGCCCGGGGAAAGCACTGGAAAAGTAAGCAGAAACATAGCTCTCACTGGGGCGACAGAGTGGAGATCAAAGAAGGCACAAGCAAGAGAAGACAGAAACTGTCCCCTATGAAAAGCACCGCTTTCTGTTGCCTGTGCTTTCTGATCTCCGCTCTTTCGCCCCAGCAAGAGCTTTGTTTCTGCTCACTTTCTTTTCCTGTGCCTTCCTCAGGAAGCAATGGATGGGACCATGAGGGGGGGGGCAGCAGAGACACCAGGGCTGCTCTGCCCCCTCAGAAAGCCAGGCCTGGAGGAACGCGAAGAATTGCGGGCGAGCGCCGGAGAAATGTGTTTTGGAAATGCCAACACACATTTCCAGCCTGCTCTCCTCTGTCCTGAAGTAGGATTGAGTGGGGGGGGGGGGGGGCGGGAGGGGGGGAGGGAGGGGGGGGGGGGGCTGGCGGGGGGCGGGGGGGGGGGGGGGGGGAGACCAAATGCCCAAACCAAAAGAGCACTGAGGAAGATGGGTTCCTCATAACCAGCCTGTTTGTGCAGGCAAGAACTTTTCTGGGCTTGACCCCCCCTTCGCCCTCCACATAGGGAGGGACTTTCTCTGCTTGGAAGTGGCAGGAGAAACCTGGAGCTTAGCCTATGGGGGGGGGGAGTCTTCTTGTGTGGAGGCCGAAGGGGGGGTATTGCCTGGTTATTAGGAGCTCGTCTTCCTCAGCGCTTTTAGCCTGGCCCTGCTTCCCCCCCCCAACTCCAGGCAGCCACACCTGGCTAAGGAGAGAGAGGTTTCCTCTGACTTGGAGGAGATATGAAATGACAGGAGACCAGATTGGAGGGGCTCTGCTTTGCTTCCGTTTGAGGGGGAGCCATATCTGTCCATATCTTCCCAGTCTCCAGGCCCCTCTTTCTTCTCAGAGGATGAGAGAGGCACCTCCTTTCCCTTTGCTCTGCCCCACAGTTATGATTGTGTTACAATAAACATTGCTATAACTTTAAAAGCACAACTATAAAGACGTGGGAAAATACCCGAACAAAGCTAAATATCATATATATAAATACCCGCGAAAACATAACCCATATATGTAATATTAAATTTATATTTAATATAACAAATAAAAATGTTATATTAAATATATTATTTTTTAGAAAAATTCGTATTAGTGGCCCTCGGGATTTAAAAGTATGAGTTTGGTGGTCCCTGAGGTCCAAAAGATTGGCAACCCCTGCTACAGATTATTTGAGTTTTTTTGGAATGGAAAACATGACTAGCAAAGTAGATACACAAGAGAGGGTACCCATCTGCTAGATCCAAAGCCTTCCTGTTTTCCAGTTTGCTCCTAAACTGGTGTGTAAAATAATAGTCATGGAGCTAATGAGAAGTAACAAGAATAGCTTGTATAATATAAATGGTTTTTATATAGGATTACATAGACAATGCTGTGATTGTGTTAGTAATTGGAGCACCATGTCAGTAGCAGTACTATATCTTTGTTAAGAGGATACAAAAATCATGGATGCATTGCAAAAAAGTTGAGGGTTGAGGGTATGTGCAATCTGTGCGGGTATTGCAATGAGGAAAAAGGTCTTTTCCAGCTCTTAAATGAAACCTGAGTATGTTGGTACTGCATGGCGAGACTGGATCATGACTATAAGCATAGCACATATTAGAAATATTTCAGAACAAAATATTCCTTACTAAATAATAGGGCCTGTCTTAAAGCTATTTTTCAGAAAATTAAAATATATTTTAACAGAATTATGGAATAACAGGATTATTTAAAAAGTGTATGATGGCAGTAGTTGATTCCTACTTAATGTAGTTCCAAGACATAAATCTGCCATGGTATTGTATATTAAAAAAGTGAAATATATGGTAAATAAAATGTAGTATAAAGGCACAACTTAAAATTAGCCTTTTAGAGTTCAACAGTCATTCATTAAAAGTTTTCTTGACTTGGATGGACATGTCTCATTACAGATACTTTTACTTTTACAATACCTTATTTTGGACTGATTATCATTTAAAGTATACTGCTTGTCTGCTGCATTTGTTTTACTTTCTCTAATAAATTGCATTAATTTAAGGGCGTTTTTATAATCTGAAAGATTTCAACAGTTCAGTCTAGCGAAAAAGGTTTATTGAAGCCTAGTTACAATATCAGCTGTTCCCCAATATCAGCTGTTGAAAAATACAAATTTAATTTAAAGAAGCCAATTCCTCCAGCCGAGCATTATTTTTTCTCTCTTCATTAGAGTTTTTAATTTGCAATAGTGATGAATATCTGCTTTTACGTGTTTTTAATTGAAAATAATTTTGTTTTGCAACCTATCTTCAGGAGATTGAGAGTCAGATCGACATAATCTGTGAAATGGGAGAAGTTATGAGAAAAGCAGTCAGTGTTGACAGTGATCAATATTATAAAATACAAGAAAAGCTAGCACAGTTAGAGGTAAGTACTGAACCACTGTGAAGTGTGGGATTGTTGAAAAGGAAGATATTTGTGATTTTTCAGCATCCAAATTTAAAGGAGCATTGAATGTTCTCTATTAAAGTTTGTTACATGCATCAGACTGAAGTAGCTTCATAGTTGTACAGTATGAATAACAGAGTTGGAAGGGTTTAAAATTCTTTAGCCCCTTAATCCATTATTAATTTTCCAAAATCCATATACCAAGGCCATATATAAAACATTTACAATTAAACTTACACAATTATCATCTGATGAAAAACCTTGCCAGTTTGAAAAATCTTAATCTCTGCAAATATTTTTTTTTTAATCCAAAAAAGTGATTAAGATATAAGGCTCTCTCCAGGTTAGTGTCCATAATGATTGCTTTGAGAGGTTGAACTTGATGTAAATCCTAATTCTCAGCTACTCCATTCAGAAACTGATCATAAAAAGCGACAGTTTTGGTGGTCTATTCATGAGGAGCAGCTATTTGGAATCGCAAGGATGAGCTCAACAATCCTTTGTTCCAGAAAGATTACATTGACTTGGATCCAGCATCCAATAGTAAAATTCCCTTAACAAAGCTGTATTGCTAGTTAACAAAAGCTAGTACTATATCTGTTCGCCATGGTGCTCATAGGAAGTGTTGGACATTTATCTGATGATAGATCTTTCAAAAAGCGGCATGGAAAGATGATAGGAGTGATATATGGAAAGTAATTACAGATGTCCCCAAAATTACATTTTTATGGCACTGAATGAATATATTGTCTCTGTCACTAACAGATCACACATTATTATTTTTAATTTTCAGCTTGAAAATAAAGAGTTGCGAAAATTATTATCAATCAGTAAAGAATCTGTTGAAGTGAGGAAAGAATTACTTGATGTTGCATCTCAAGCTACAAAACCTCAGTCCTGGAACAGTTGATCCTGGAAATTGGAAACTCTACTGCAGGAATGAGTATGCTTCATTTCTGAGTGTTCCTTTAATTCCCTTTAGTCTTCTCTTGGAAACCATTCCAAGCCTGTTACCATATTGTAAGTTCTGTTCTGGGGAGGGGGTTGTAATGGCCCCTTTCATTAAGATTTGTTTTGCTTAATCCTGCAGTAGAGTGAAGTCAATGTTTTCTTTAGGTTACCCATGATTTTAGAAATCTCAGCAGGATGCAGCAAGGATCATCTTAACTTTTCTAGTGTGAGCAAAGAATATTAAAGTCAAATCTTTTAGCATGACTTAAATTTAAGTGGCATTCAGTTCTTAAATATGTTTAGGGTGCACTGTTGTACAAAGCTTGGGCACTCCTACTCTTAATGCTAGAATTTCTGCTTCTAGCATTGTTTTTGGTGCTGCATTTATTGTATCATTTAAAAATATACTGTCATATTACCTATTTCTTAATATCAACAAAGTCACCCAGTGTCACCTTGTAGGGGAGTTGAAATTTAGCATAGAAATTTAATAAATGAAATAAATAAACAAATACTGAAAGTAACACACAATGCCTGACTATTTCACGCAGGAGATGTCTCTGTGGGTTATAACAAAGTCTGGTATTTCTGCCTACCTAGGAGGTTCAATGGGTATGATAATCCATTATGGGGCATAACCACATTAGTTCCTTTTCTGTCTTTCTCAATATCTACTTGATCAAGGAAACTGACTCTAATTTCTTATAGTCACATTAAGCCCCTGTGCATAGATGTCAGGAAGGAGATGCGTGGAAACAAGTCTCTGTTATACCTTATAAAGATTACTCTGTGTGTAGGCATTTGCACATATATATATATTATTCCTGTAAAAGATGAATTTACTTTTTTGCAAGCACCTGCCAATATTTTAAAAATTATTTTTCTTGAAAGATTGATGGTTGAAGATAAATATACTTAATATTTGTTAATATTGTTCAAATGTACACATTATAAATGTCTCTTTTAAAATTTCTTGGGTATCCATTCTCCGATGGTAAAACAGAATCTATGAAATGTATTGGGCATATTTATTCTTGCTGTCCTGGTTTAACTAAGTTTTAGAAATATAACTAAACAAAATTTATGTCATTTTGCTAGTTTCCTTCTTGCCCCATACGTTTGGTGGAAAGGAGTGATAGGCTAATTGATTAAATTCATCTGGGGGTATTTTCAGGGTTTCACATTGAAAATTTTATTTTAAAGGCTGAGCAGATTTTTAAAAAAATTCTTAAAATGTGGGCCCTATTTGCATAATGCAATCAGCTGAACAAACTCAGTATCTTTGCAGCATTATGCCTTAAATATATGCCTTCCGTGTCATCTTCAGAATCAATAAGTTCTTGTTATGAGCTGCAATTTGCCCAGTCTTTGTATAGGCTGTGGATTATTTTGTAACTATCCTGTAGGATGTAAATTTAATTACCTACAGAGATGCTGCACTATCGTTTACCATCTTATAAGCCTATTCTATTCAGTAAATTAAAAATATTATCTTTACCTCTCGTCTTATTAAATATGTATATTGGCTCATTTTCTTGAAATAAATGTTTTGAGGCAGTATTGTGTGCTAAGGCTTTTTTGTACAGAGAATTATTTATGGCAGAGGACGAGGCACTATTGGCCAGATGTTGTTGTACAGCCCCAGCCATAACAGCTGGTAATTAGGGATATTAAAACTAGTTTTTCAACATGAAAAGGGCCATAGGTTCCCTCTTTTTTGATGCTTTTGGACATATTTTAAATTTGACTGATATCAATGTTTCTGGTCAAATCCTTGGACATTCGAGTTATATTCTGTATTCTCAGGTTGTTAATTAAGTTTAATAAAGAAATGCTGTAGCTTCACGTTTCTGAAAATGATACATTGACTGTGAATTGAGGACCAATAGAACACTCCTCAAATAATGTGATCAACTTGTCAATTCTATTTTGCAAGTATAAAAGTCTGCTAGATTCATGTACTGTTTTAACCCTGCTTTATTTACCAAGCCAAAAACAAACAAGCCATATTGTAACTTAGAGCCGAAAGATTATTCTTTCACATGGCTACTAATAAATGTATTGTTGCCTTATATTATGTATCAAATTATTTTCTTCACATCCTGTAAGCAACCAGCTGCATCCTTCTGCCACCCAAAAATCAGGTTTGCCTACATTTTTATAAACATGCATCTAAGCATTACTTTGCAGTAAGTAGGCTACTCCTAGAATAAACTGTATGTCTTAAAGTGGAAAAATTATTTAATGACACACATTGCAGTTGCCTGTTTTACAGTTGTCATAATGGCTCAGACCCAATATAAGCGTGTTTGGTTATGGACTCGTGTTTATTTTCGGCTTTTCTTATGGTTACAGACCATATTGTATAGAAAGCCTATCCTAAAGATTAAGCAGAAGCAGTGCCTTCTGAATTTGGGGAGATAATCTTATTAAGCTTGTGGAAAGGGTGGCTACTTGTTGCATGCTAAATCTCTGGACACAGTTACAGTATTGATTTTTAGGATTGATCTAGAGAAATAAAATTATAATGAATCTAGATAAGATGGACACAATAGGGATAGAGAAGCCTGATGATAAAGAAGAGGACAACCACTTCTGAATGGATTTTGAAAGGGTGATTGCCTACTTATAAAATAGTTACCATGGAGATAACGGCCAATCAAAAAAATTCATTTATTGGATGATAGCTCCCACTATATTATCTGCCACCCTGCTTTTTCCACTGACATTTCTATCAATAAATATGGTACTAAAATTATGTATTTGGCTCGTATGCCAGATTTTTTTTTCCAAAAGCAATGGAGCAGAGTGTCTGGTGGGTATTAATGGAAGTATCTTGAGTCAAAGTGGTACCCAAGAGACTTACTACTCTACCCTATATCAGTAGCAGAAGAGAAGAAGATAGATGGATAGAGAAGACCTTTATTGTCATTGCATTCTACAAATACAATAAAATTTGAAAGCTACTCCAGCACAGTGCCCCAAACACCACATCACAATAACACTACAGAGTATTTAATAAAATAATAATAATAATAATAATAATAATAATAATAATAATAATAATAATAATAATAA